GCAGCGAAGAAGACCCCGGAGCATGGTTGCCATGGTTGCCCTTCTGTTTATTCTCCGCGGTGGACGGCGTGTTCTCCTGCTGTATATCTCTCAGGTAGTCCACCAGCAGATGAAAAACACCCACCTCTCCGCCTCTTCCAAGGAACGAGAGGACCGTGCGGCAGTTTCCGTTAAAAAAATGTTCCGCCGGTCAACNGCTTGTTTTTCACTCGGCTCCTCCCGTTTTGCCAGTACTGTGGTAATTAGTGGTTTAGGAAGAGGGGAGTTTTTCACAAATCCAGCGCTCCCTAACTCATGCCTGGCTGTGACGTAAATGGTGTGCGGCCGTGAAGCCAGGACAGTAAACAAACATGTCGTCGGTAGTATGGGACTATTTCAAAGTTTCAGAGTTAGATAGTTTGCTTGCTATTTGTATTAACAAATGCAATGCAGAAGTTCCACGAGGAGGGAAAAAGGCAACGAGCTATAATACTTCCAACCTGATTAGTCACCTGAAACATCGCCATCGCTACGATGTTGTGTTAAAAGCGTATGAAGACGCCTGCGCTGCTAAACTAGCGGCGAATCCAAAGCCAGCTGCAAAGGCACCGGGGCTTTTACCTATCGACGAGGCTTTTGAAAAAGGCAAGAAGTTTGCCAGAGATGACCCCAGGGCTAAAACGATCTCTAACTTCATCATAGAAATGATGGCACCAATTGTTCATTCATTGTTTTTAACAGATAATAATATAATATATATCTATATTAAATTAATATAGATATATATATATTATATTATTATCGGTTATCGGTCTTGAGAAGCAGGAAGTTATTGGTATCGGTTTCAAAAAACCAATATCGTGCATCCCTAGTTGACTTTACTTTAAAATAGCAGATCTCTGTGAACGGATATAGTTTGGCTCAGACCCCGGCCCCACGAGGAAATGCAAATGCAAAAAAGTATTCCGTTCACACCATGGTTCACACGCATTCGATTGATTAACGTGTCCGTTCACACTAGACCGCTGGAAATGCTGGAAACGCTGGAAACGCTGTAGTACATATGCCAGGCCTGTAAGTGGCGCTGCTGCCGCCACAAAATACACCAAAAGCAGCGAAGAAGACCCCGGAGTATGGTTGCCATGGTTGCCCTTCTGTTTACTCTCCACGGTGGACGGCGTGTTCTCCTGCTGTATATCTCTCAGGTAGTCCACCAGCAGATTAAAAACACCCACCTCTCCGCCTCTTCCAAGGAACGAGGGGACCGTGCGGCAGAGTTTCCGTAAAAAAAATGTTCCGCCGGTCAACATGTCCGTTAAAAATTGAAATCTTCCCTACAAAATTAGAAAAGTGCCGGTCAGAGGTCTTCTTTGTTATTTATTGAGCTTTAAAACAAATTGATAACGACTCTGTTCTCTGTATAATAAGTATAATAATATTTTAATAAACGGTGACTGCCTCTCTTTTCCCTCCCCCTCTTCTGACAGCCCAGCAGCAGCAGGAGTACGTGGGGAGAGGGAGGCGGGCTATTTCATCGTTATCAGAAAATGATCATATAGGGCTTTACACACGGAGC